CCTGTCTGGGCTTCTGGTCAACCACTCGTTGAGAAGGTCAACTCTCCTGATTGACAGGAAAATGGCCTCATAGAAGCCCCCTGTCCTAGACGGTTGTCAAGGCAGCTGGGACCCTCCATCTTTGAATTCACTATTAGATGAAGGTGGAACTCAGCAACAGAATTGACTTTGCTACTACAGGGAAGAGCAAAAGTAGGTTTACAGTTATTTATATAAAAAATAATACAAGCTACACTAATAAAAGAGAAATATGCTAATTGACTGTACCTTCACAATGCCCACCATCCAATCAGGAGTGGGTATGCAAATTAATCCAACAAAGAAGGCATGTTAATTTGCATACACGGGTGCTGAGTGGCCGGGGACAGGGCGTGACACTTGCATGTTGCCATGGTGATGATGCAGGCTTTCCACACCACCCCAGCCACTCCAGGCCTCTGGGCAGCATGGGAAAGCAGAAAGGCAGCTCCGGCCCGAGCAAAGGCAGTGCCGGCAGCCAGGGGAAGGAAAGCCCATTCTTGCACGAATCTTCGTGCATCGGGCCTCTAGTAATTAATAAATATGAATACCAAAATAAACTCAGTTTCATGTAGTCACAACTGTAAACTTCCTTTTGCCCCATCCTGTACAGTCCTTCCACCATTCTGCTTGGATTTCTTTCTTAAACTAGCATGTGGTCATTCGTTTTAGGACACCAAGGAATAAATGTTGAGTCAATAATGACTTTTGTTGTTAATATTGATTTAGATGAACACATTACTACTCGTCCTACTTATTTCTAAGAGTAGATGAGAATATTCTCTCTGTTCAATGGAGGCTGGGTCAGCTCTTATGGAATTATGGCATTCTGAAAGAAGTGTCCAACTCTTAGAAGTTTGCTCTATCAGCCGGGAATTAATAGCACTTAACACATACATCTTTCATTAACATTTGCATCGAAAACAAACATTTCAAGTTTAATTTCCTGGAATCTATAGTTCAAATGGGTATATAATACATTTGTATTTTTTAAACCATGGTTTTCTACCTGAGATTTTTAATCCTGCCATTTAATCGATACTATTTTTATGTTGTTCGTTTTGTGCTGTTCAGTTAGAGTTCCGCTTTTAGTCACTGAGACGTCAGCTTTAAGTGTTTTAAATGTGACATTTAAATGTTTTTAATCTTTGAAGGCAGGGTCCCCACAATTCTGTGTTCGTTTTGAGGATGGCAGGTGATAGTGACTCAGCCAGGCAATGATGTGCCGGTTCTAATGGAAGGTTCTTTTTCTTAATGTTTTTTATTGATTCCAGAGAGGAAGGGAATGGGGGAGAGACAGAAACATCAGTGATGAGAGAGAGTCATGGATCAGCTGCCTCCTACACACCCCTCACTGGGATTTGAGCCCACAACCCAGGCATGTGCCCTGACCGGGAATCGAACCATGAGCTCCTGGTTCCTAGGTCAACCGACGCTCAACCACTGAGCCATGCCAGCTGGGCTAATGGAAGGCTCTTTAGTGCGTTCATGTCTGCTTTACGGCTCCCAGTATAACAGATGTGGCAACTGGTGAGCGTGGAGTCTGAAGCGCACGCAGCTGCATGAAAGGGGCAACATGAACAATAAACTGAAAATGGGAGAAAAGGCCGTTTTCAGCGCGGCAAACACTAAACCTCTGTTTACTTCTTGAGCCCAAGGTCAGAGCATTGAGGGAAAATCCGCTTTTATATCAGCGTAGAAAGAAATGGAAAGAGAGAGGCTACAGTGAATGGAAAGCAGAAGGCATTCAAAGGGGAGCTTCTAATAAAACAAGAAACTTGAGGCAAACATAAAAATAAGTAATACAACTCCTAAGCCTTGCAGAACATTCTGGAAGGGAGAGAAACACTGCAGACACCTGATGGATGTTGCCAGGCTTCCGCCCAGCCCTCCAGCGGGCTGGTCCAGAGCCTTCCTGGGAGGGGGACTTCCCCCAACAGCCCCGCACCTGCCACCAGCGCCCCCTCCCTGCGGGACCTTCGCAGCCACATTAGGGAATGGGGACCATCTGGTCTCTTCCTGCAGCGCATACTGAGCACCCCCCAAGCCACATTGCTGCCCCCACACAGTCCTCCACACCTCCTTTCTCATCCAGCTCCCCCCCCCCGCTAATCCCCCCTCCCTCTGCAGGGGGCTCAGCAGACCCCGCAGGTCCTGCCCCACCCCCTGCCTCCCCATTGCACTTGCATATCTTGTGGGCTTCTCATCACTGCCACTTACACATGCACAGTGTTTCCTGTAAGCCAGCAGCAAACACAGACAAGCAACCTTCTTCCTTCCTTCCCTCCTTTCTTCCCTCCCTCCCTCCTTCCTTCCTTCCCTCCTTCCTTCCCTCCTTCTCTCCTTCCTTCCTTCCTTCCTTCCCTTCTTCCTTTCTTCCCTTCTTCCTTCCCTCCCTCCCCCCTTCCCTCCTTCCCTCCTTCCTTCCTTCTCTCCTTCCTTCTTTTTTTTTTTAAATATATTTTATTGATTTTACAGAAAGGAAAAGAGAGGGATAGAGAGTTAGAAACATCGATGAGAGAGAATCATTGATCAGCTGCCTCTAGCACACCCCCACCATGGATGTGCCTGCAACCAAGGTCCATGCCCTTGACCGGAATCGGACCCGGGACCTTTCAGTCCACAGGCCGATGCTCTATCCACTGAGCCAAACCGGCTTTGGCTGTCCTTCCTTCTTTCCCTTCTTCCTTCCTTCCCTCCTTCCTTCCTTTCTTCCTTTACTTCTTTATTTTTGTTGTTGTTAATCCTCACCAAGGATATTTTTTCCATCAATTTTTAGAGAGAGTGGAGGGAGGGGGAAGAGAAACATTGATTGATTGACTCTCACGTGTGCCTCGACCAGTGGCCTGGGATCCTGAGATAGGTGCCCTTGACAGGAATCGAACCCATGGCCCTTCATTTCAGGGATGACACTCTAACCACTTAACCAAACCGACCAAGGCAATCAAACCTTCTTTGGCACTTCTGTCCCTTTCCTGCTGCCAGATTCTTTGAATCTTATCATGTCTACGCCTGTCATCATGGCACTGGAGAGGTCAGGGCTCAAACCTTCCCGGGTGGTAGCTATGTGGCCTTGAACACCTTTCTAAGCCCGTTTCCTCATCTGTAAAATACCTACCTCAGCCCAGGCCAGGAGGTCACAGTTCGCTTCCCAGTCAGGGCACAGGCCCAGGTTGCGGCCTCCGTCCCCAGTTGGGGGATGTGCAGGAGGCAGATGACCCATGATTCTCTCATCATGGATGTTTCTCTCTCTCCCTCTCCCTTTTTCTCTGAAATCAATAAAAATGATTTAAATAAATAAATGAATAAATAAATATCCTATCTCACAGGGTTGTTGGGACATATATGACAATGACTCTATTAAGTGCTTATCCCAGTGAGAGACGTGATAAAATTTAATTTATTACATAATTGTCTCCTACAAACTGACATATCCACAGAATTTCACCTTACCCAGAATGCTGATGGTCTTTTCTGACTGAATCTTACAGCCTTTCCTCGGCCTTCTTTGACTATTCATGCCTTCATTCCCTCTATTCTCTGGACTTCCTTAATGTTGTCTTATCGATTCTTCCTTTTCTGGTAGCTTCCTTTTTGTCTGACTTACTGATTTGCTTTCTTCACTCTACCCTACCCTATGGAAGTCTCCTATGGCTCCTTCTGCAGCCATTGCTCTTGTTGACAAGACTAAGTTGGATTAATAAATCAGAGAGGAGATAATGTTATCTCTTGTGCTTTGGGCAGTGTATTCTTACCCTTTGTTCTTACCTGCTTCCCTTCTACTCCCAAGTATAAAAATGTTATATTGGATTTAATTCATCCAAAGAGGCAGAACTCCAGCACTATTAACACAGGAAGGCTTGAAGTATCTCATTCCCTGTAGACATGGCAAGTGATACCTATAGCCAATCTGTGTTCAGATGATGATGATGATGACATTAATATTTCCCAAATAGTATTGTAGGACTTGCACACTAGCTTAACCTACGTTATCTGAGAGTGTGCTCTAGAATAACACTGTAGGCAGTGACCTGAATTATCCAACACATTTTATAAATGATTAGTACCCCTGCGCACGAATCCGTGCACCAGTAGCTCTCTGTGGGGCCTGGCTGCTCCACACCCACTGCCCTGAGGCTCTCCGTGGCCCAGAGGCCCATTCGTGGCCAGGTGCTGAACGCTTGCCTCGTCACCGCGGCAACGAAGCAAGGATTCGGCCAGACCTCTCACACTGCCCACCGCGGCAACGAAGCAAGGATTCGGCCAGACCTCTCACACCGCCCTCTCTCCCCACCCTACCCCCACATTGGGACTGGGGGACTCTGGAGGGGCTGAGAGGACTAGGTGCCGCTATCTTGTGGCTATGGGCACCACCATCTTTGTGATGGACTGATGGTTAATTTGCATATTACCTTTTTAGGATATTTTAAAATTCTGGCTTTGATGCTGGGAGTAGTATCTTTTCTGCTTAAACCATACTCTTTTTTTGCCCCTGTTCCATATAACTTCTCAGATGTGTCTTGTCTATAAATGCTAGATTTTAAAAAGATAAAAAGAGAAATATATAAATGCTAAATTTTAGACTAAAGAATAGACAACATATCCTTATCCATTTTGGGGAAAATAAGTTAAATGTAAAACAGCAAATTGAGTTACTTATTAGCAGATTTAAGAAAGAATTGTGAATTTTAAAACTTAATTGTGAGAGTTTGGGGAATGTATTTATTTGTGCTATTTCCATTTTTTTATTAACAAGAGATGACTCTAAAATGTATATTGATTTAAGGTGGCAGAAGACAGAGAAAAGTTACAGTGTCAGAGATTCCAAAGGGTAAAAAGTTAGGCTCAGCTTAAATGGGGGATTTCATCTCTTTAGTTAGAGAAGTCTCCATGTTCCCATAGATCATATCCATTCATTCATGATTCACTCTGATTGCCTTTGGTTTCTACCTAACGAAGTATGTTGTGTGTTTGTTTTTCAGATCTAAAGCGGGAAGCCAGTATCTGTCACATGCTGAAACACCCCCACATTGTAGAGTTGTTGGAGACATATAGCTCAGATGGAATGCTTTACATGGTGTTTGAATTGTGAGTGTACATTCTGTTATTTTTTTTAAGGGTTAAAGTGTTTAGCCACATTGGTTTAGAATAATGCTAATACCTTGTAAAATTGAAGAACAGTTGTGAACGCTTCTCTTTAGACCTGAAGTAGTAAGAGAAGAAGCATTATCTCATCTTCAGGTTCATAGTGCTGAGGGAGCAGAAGTTGGTCATGTCTGGTTACCCTCACATTCTTAGCATACTTTGGAGAAGAAGCTTTAAAAAGAAAGAGTTCAGAGAGATAGGAAGCCCCAAAATAGAACATTCTGATCATCGGAGCCTTAGTGGGGAGGAGTGGGATGGCGGTACAAGCCTCGCCAGCAACTCCAAACAAGTGATAACACACTTCACTTCCTCATTGATACCATCGCCAGGGCCAGGCCAGCGTGGAGAGGAAAGTCTGCAGAGGACTGTGTATCTTGATTTCCATCAGCCCCTGGGCGATTTCTCACACAATTATTGTCAGTGAGCTGGAGAAATGTGAGCAGCTAAGGCTGGGAAGGCTTGGTCATTGTACAGGGGATTGGATGAGTGTGTCTAAAGTTCATCCCCTTTATGGGATGCCATCTCTTCTGTGCAAATTCTAATCAGTGGCTTTGATTGGGGTCTCCTGCCGGGTAGTCATCCAGGAGTTGCCAGGGCTGAAGTCATTTGAAGGCTCCATTGGGGACAGATCTGCTTCCAAACTCTCTCCCTTGGTTGCTGGCCACAGGCAATGGGGCTATGGGCCTTCGTTCCCCAGCAGCTGCGGGCCTGGCTGCCCTGGGATCCTTGTAACTGGTCCTTCCCTGGAGCAGCTCACAGCGCGGCAGCTGGCTGTATCAGAGCAAGCAAGCAAGTGGTCAAGAGTCCAAACTAAATTGAAGTCCAGCCCGGCCAGTGTGGCTCAGTGGTTAAGTGTTGACCTATGAACCAGGAGGTCACAGTTCGATTCCCAGGTTGTGGGCTCCATCCCCATTAGGGGGCATGCAGGAGGCATCCAATCCATGATTCTCTTTCATCATTGATGATTCCCTCTCATCACTAATGCTTCTAGCTCTCTCTGCCTCTCCCTTCCTCTCGGAAATCAATAAAATATACTTTAAAAAATGAAGTCAATCTTGTAACCTAATCTCAGAAATCACACAGCAGCACTTCCGGATCCAGCCCTGGATCCAGCCCACCCACAAGCGGAAGGGATTGCATAAGGGCGTGAATACCAGGAGGTAGCGATCACTGGGAACCAGGTCAAAAGCTACTCCCACAGAGGCTGGTTAATGCATTGACTATCTGGATGAGAATTTTACAGTATTTCACAAGTGTGCAGCAAGGGAGCTGGGGAAATGCCAGGCCAAAGGTAATGGCAGCACATGCATTCAAAGCTGTAAGTGCAAGTTCGCTGTGCATTTGGCTGTAGCTGCTTAGGCAGGAAGGATGAAAAGGTTTTACAGCTAACTAAACAGCCCTGATGGAGCCTTTGACGCTGCTATTTATAAGTACGTAGTATTCTAAACCAAAGCACACGCCCGCTGCGTTGTATAATGCTAATTCTCCCCATAGTAAGCAGGCGTCACCACCCTTCCAGAGCGGGAAAGAACCTAAAAATCCTGTCATACAGTCACAGCCTTCCAAACCTTTGTTGGCAAACCCACTAAAAGAATTTTGAAAACTACACTGAGTGGCCAAATTATTATGATCTCTGAACGTATAATAATCTGGCCACTCAGTATATATATATTAGAAGCCTGGTGCATGAATTCGTGCATGGCTGGGGTCCGGCCAGCCTGGATAGGGGGAGGGGACATGGGCAGTTGGCTGGCCTGCCTGCTGGTCAAACTCCTAGTCGAGTTTTCATATTAGCCTTTTATTCTATAGGATATACACTGAGTGGCCTGATTATTATGCATTCAGAGATCATCATCATCTGGCCACTCAGTCTATGTACCTCCTCACTTATTTTTTTAATAAGCTTATTGATTTTTGAGAGAGGCAGGGTGTGGGAGAAACATCGATCAGCTGCCTCCTCCACGCCTCCTACAGGGGATGGAGCCTGCAACCTAGGCCTGTGTCCTGACCAGGAATCGAACCAGTGACCTCCTGGTGCACAGGATGGCGCCCAGATGACGCCCAACCGAATGAGCTGCACCAGCCAGGTCCTCCTCACATAGTTTTAAGTTGATCTATAACAACTTTTGTTGTGAGGTTGTACTTTTCAGTTCTGCTTATTCCTTTAAATGTTTTCTTCAAAACTGCAGAGCCACACCTTCTCAGTTTCTGTCTGCTCGATGACCTAAATGGCCAAGCCTGTCATCATTGTCAAACCAATGAGCCAAACCAGACTCGTTTCTGACAGAAAAGAATCTGACTTCATTTTTCAGATAATCGTAAAGTGTGAATAGGCGTCTCTATGACAACCTGTTGCTATTGATTTCTAATTCTAAAAGGGCTCAGGCTTTGCCAGAATATATTGTCCAGATGAAATAAGATGGCTCTCCTCTTTTTTAAAATATGTTTTTATTGGTTTTTAGAGAGAGAAAAAGGGAGAGGGAGAGAGAGAGAGAAACATCAATGATGAGCCCTAGCTGGTGTGGCTCAATGGATAGAGCATTGGCCTGCATACTGATGGGTCCTGGGTTTGATTCCAGTCAAGGGCACATGCCCGTGTTGTGCTAGATCTCCAATAGGGAGCGTGCAGGAGGCAGCCAATCGATGATGCCCTCTCATTGATGTTTCTATCTATCCTTTCCTCTCCCTTCCTGTCTGAAATCAATAAAAATATATTTTTAAAAAATAAAAAAAAACATCAATGATGAGAGAAAAGCATCATCGATCAGCTGCCTCTTGCCTGGCCCCTCCTGGGGATTGAGCCTGCAACCGGGCATGAGCTCTGACTGGGAATTGAACCGTGACCTCTTGGTTCCTACTTTGACGCTCTACCACTGAGCCACACCGGCTGGCTCCTCTTTCTTGAACAAATTTCTTGGCGATGGAAAAGACTGGCCAAGGACTCTTGGTTTTCTTTTTTTGCTAAAAGAGTCCGCAGGCAGAAGCCCATGGTAGAGCAAAATGGAAGTCTTCAGTTATTTGAAAGATTTCATCTGTGAGAGGGTGCTGGGTTCACTCAGTGTAGGGTCAGGGTTATAACGAGAATCAACAAGTGGCAGGTAGGTCTCTCCTCTAAGCACAAATCTCACCTCTAAGATGCCTTCTCCACTAGAACCACTTCCGCTGGAGCTGGACCTTCCAAGGGGCTGAAGCTAAGGTTTAATTTTGGACTGCAGAGGGCCTCTAACTCCCACTCCAGTTTTAAGATATTATAATTCTACTTTTCCCCTTTTAATTGATTTTAGAGAGAGGAGAGGGGAGGGAGAAACACTGCGTGGCTGCCTCCTGCACGCACCCTGACCAGGGATCAAACGCACAACCTGGGCGCATGCCCCGACTGGGAATTGAACCCACCACCTTTCGGTGCACGGGACGGCACTTCAACCACTGAGCAACACTGGCCAGGGAGATATTATAATTATTTGAATCACTGTTTCTGGTTAAATTTTATTCTTTGTTCAAGAAATATGTTTCTGTCCACATTTTTATTCACTGGGAAGATGAAAAAAATGGTTTTATCATGTACTATAAAGTAATGAGCATAGAAAGCCCAATATAAAAATTTGCTTAAATTTCATCCTGTCTGCTATCTGTGTCACGGGGATCGAAGTGCAGTAGAGGTAAAATGGTCTTTGGTGTCATAGAACTGGTTTTACTCTCCCAACTATGTCACTTGTATTAATTATGTGACTTTGGCCAAGTCTAAGTGTCTTACCTTAAAAATCTTCATACGGTTATGAGAACTCAGTGGGAAACTCTGTGAATTTGCTTTATATAAAATGGTAACATGCTCAATAGCTCTACGGTGTCATTCTTAGTACGGGTTAGTGTTAGTTTTTCGGCGTTGAATCTGTATGAGATTTTATGTAGCTTAGTTTATATGATTCATTTGACTAAAGTAATTCATCGATGGCTATATGCTAAGAGAGACCTCATTAAAATTGTATATGCCAACCCGGTGTGGCTCAGTAGCTGAACATCGACCCATGAACCAGGATGTCACAGTTCAATTCCCCTACAGGTCAGGGCAGATGCCTGGGTTATAGGTTCGATCCCCAGTAGGGGGAGTGCAGGAGGTAGTCGATCAATGATTCTCTCTCACCATTGATGTTTCTCTCTCTCTCCCTCTCCCTTTCTCTCTCTGAAGTCAATAAAAACATATTAAGTAGGTAAATAAATAATAAAATAAAATTGCCTATTGACCAGTCCCAATAATGCCTGATCCCAGTGTTAACACAAATCACTAGAACATAAATTTCTACTTGAAATTTTTTAACCTATTGGAGTTTTTCAATAAAGAGAACACTATAATGCAAGTCAGCGTGCCTGTCACCCAAGCTTCAACCATTAGCAACATTTTGCTATTCTTTTCCTACTTATCCTTTCCTAATGTCTCTTCATCTCCTGGAGATTTCTAAGCAGTGTCATTTCTAAGTCCTTTTGTATTTCTGTCAGTATTCCTTTTTACTTTTTTTAATATATTTTATTGATTTTTTTTTTTTTTACAGAGAGGAAGGGAGAGGGATAGAGAGTTAGAAACATCAATGAGAGAGAAACATCCATCAGCTGCCTCCTGCACACCCCCTACTGAGGATGTGCCCCCAACCAAGGTACATGCCCTTGATCAGAATCGAACCTGGGACCCTTCTCTCCACTGAGCCAAACTGGCTAGGGCATTATTACTATGTTTATTTTATTTATATATATATATATGTTTAAATGACCGAAACAATATTATCACATCTAGCAAAATCAATAATAATGCCTGAATATCATATATTCAATTGATGCTCAGTTTCCCCTGATTGAACATGAATTCTCAAGGAAATATTTCTAAATTTAAAAGTGATTTATTAGCTCTAGGGACCTGGAAGTAGATTATAAATTCATAGGTCATTTGCTTT